GAATGACAAATAGCGTGCGCGCGCGCACTGTGTAAGCTGCCATCAAAGTTTCCCAGTATTTCTAACAAAAAGGAAAAAAACTTATCTAATTTTGAGACACTACTACTTTTTCTATTTTAAACACGTTTTAAATTTTACTTGTTTTTTTCCCTAAATATTTGTTATAATACTAACTTTTTCAAGTACAATTAGTGCATACTTGTCTCCAAAAGTAACAATTGTAGATATAATTAGTACTAATTTTTAAGCTAATTTAAAGTGCAAAAAATAATTTTTACATGATACATTATTGATTTGGGTATCTCTTTAATTAGAGGGCGCTTAATATTATATAATTCGGAGGGTTAATTGGAAGGATTGATTGGGACCAAATAAGATGCTGGTGGTGGGTGCCCTTAGACCCTGCAGCTTGGCAAATGACTTGGGATGAACAATATAAGAGGCAGTAAAAGGACCATAGGGAGAATAAGGGTATGGTAGCTTTGGTTAAAGCATTAATAAATTAAAATACCATCACTTTCTAATCTTAGGCACATCCCGTCGCCCAATTTATGCTTTAATATATCTGAGTTTGATTTTCTCATCAAAGAATAATTTTGATATTAAATTATTTTTTCTTAAAACCCCCGTGTCTTTAACTCCATTGCTTCATCCACTGTTACTAATAGAACTGGACGTTAATTTATCTTATCTCATATATTTATAATTTTTTTCCAAGCTAACTTAGTTGATAATTTATAAAATGATACATAACATTATATAATGTAAGTTATTTTAAGGTGACCATATCATATTTTTTATAATATACTTAAATTGGTTAAGTACTTCTTATGTTAAGAATCAAATGAATTATATTTTTTGTAAAATACATTTATATAAAACTCCTGGTTCTTAATATAGAATCAAATCGTTTGAGTTCAATTACCAAAGATCAACCTAACTTCATCTAACTCGGCACTGGCTTCAATTTTTTCTTGGGAAATGCTTGGGATCACGTCTGAATTATTATTTTGATTATATTTAAATGGTTTCAGTTTTATTTTATTTTTGTTTGTTTACATGTTTTTTAATTTAATTTTCTAGTACCAGACTGCTAGACTGGATTTAAGCATTACCAGAGCTAAGTTAGGATAGCTTCCTTGGTGGTTATTCTTATCTTTCGATTTATGATCATCATTGTCATCTTTAGTTTGTCTTTAAAAGTAGTTTTACAATGAGAACACACAACACGCACACAAGATAAATAATTTTAATTTAAAATAGTAAATTCTAGTTTTTTTTTTTTAAATTGTGACTATAAGGTATGGAACTGGTTATCCATCATCCATCAATAATAAAATGCCGACAAATTGTATAAATGTTCAGTCCAAAAATGTGGTGTTTGGATAATGTTAAATGTTTAAAACGACAATCATTCATGATACAGCAACAGATAACCTGAATAAAATTATAGATTTTGGTATTTCTTTACTTATTTTTTTACATTTATCATCTCATCAGAAAAGGAGTAATCATAAAAATAATATTTAGAAGTTTGATAAAGACGTCAAACTATAATTCTTCCTCCCAGCCAATAGCTTTTTCCTCACTTTAAATTTATTAAATTAAATAATACCTCCAGTCCGTTTCAAGCTAGCTTATCCAACCGTTCATATCTTTTCGTGGGGAAATAGTTAGCTACGCTTTATTTTCAACGTTATCATTATCATCATCATTATTATTATTAAAATGAGGAAAGAAATTTAATCACAGGAAAATGAATATTGTAGATATGATTGGAGAAAATTGATTTTCCAAAAAATAAAAATAATTGTTAAATAATAATTTTAAGTATTATTAATTTCTTATTTAATCTATGCCTTTTTTGATTAAATTAATCGACTTAACGATAGATATAAGGGTGCAAATATCCCAATAGATGAAAACATGAGGCCCAAAATGGGTAAATTAATCAATAAATACGCATTTTTGTCCAAAAAAGTCCAGAAATGAAACTTTAAAAAGGCGTGTAATATAAAATAAAAAGGGTATTTCCACACCAAATAAAAGGTTATGAATGTAAGTAAATAATAATAGGAAATTGTTGGGGAAAAAATAAGAAAAAAATGTAAAAAAGACCTTAAAAATAGAAAAACTATAAACAAGGACCCATTATAATATTGGTATTGGTTTTGATAATAATTGATAAGTAAATGGTAACTATTTTGTTGAACAAGTCCTTGTATGCGATTTTCTTAAAAAATAATGAAGGAAATAATAATAATAATAATAATAATAATAATAATGATGATGATGATGATGATGATGATGATAATGATAATAATAAGGACCCGGAGAATTTGGTACGATATGTGAGGAGTGGACAGCGAAAAAGTATGTAAAATTCTCGATACAGATAATAAGAAGGAACCGGAGAAGTTGGTACGATATTTGAGGAGTGGGCGGCGAAAAAGTGAGTCAAATTCTTGATATAGGAAGAAAAGAAAAGTTTAGACTTTAGAATGATGCATTCGGCTTAAAAAAATGATACTGCTTTGATCCCTAATATAAAATCTATTTAACTAATTTGATTAGATTAAGAAAGTTAGGTAAATTAGTTAATCATAAGAAATAGGACATGTTTTTTCTAAAATACCATAATTATCTTTTTTAATATCCTCCTTCCCTCCCTTTTTTACTTGATTATGATTGAGAAAACATCAATAAGAGTAATTTAGCAAAAATGATAAATACGAAAAATAGATCTTATGTTTAGGACCAAGATCTACTTAATAATTAAGTCTTATATTAAGGACCTTAGGAGTACAGTATAATAGTGTATCTCAAATCTTAAATATAAAAATTCAATTAATTTTGTTTCCGGCATTTATTTATTTATTTTTTAAATTACATAGGTTAAATGGTTTTCATTTTAATACACATGATTAATAAAATATTTTAAAAATTTAATATTTATTTATTAAAAATGAATTTTTAATAAATAATTTAACTAATTTTTTTAATATTTAAAATTAGTTATCTAATTCTTATATTTATGTTAAAAAACATAAATACTATTTTAAATATTTATATAATTGCAGGGTGTTCGACTTCCAATTCTGAAACTCCAAAGGCTTGCTTTGTGGTGAAGAAGCCAGAATTGTATAGAGAACCCCACAATCACAATCCTTTCTATGTTTGTGGGCTCCATCCTTTTCTTTTCCCATATAAAAGCACTGCGCGCGCACAATCTTAGTTGTTATTAAATTGTTGAGAACCAAGTACCTTGAGGTGTGGATTTTATACCTCAAAGTAGTAAAAAATGGAGTGTGTGGCTCCCTTCTGAGAACACGTTTCAAATTGCTCATACCAAAAAAAAAATATTGTTGAATTAATGTTATTTAATGTTTTAGGAATGAGTGTGAATAACAAAACTTGCCATAAATTTTGTTTTTTGATATATTGATGATGACCCTATTGTATTAGAATCAATGCTTATATCAAGGTTTTGAGTTTACTAGGTGTGAATGCGGATTTAAGTAATTCCACTAAATCTCTTTGATTGTAGTGTTATTGTTAAACATTTTTTTTAAAAAAAATTAGCCATTTTTTGAGTTCACATAAATTACAAATGTTAAGAAAAATCAAACTACTTTTTAAAATTAATAATTGCTTTATGAAGTTATTTTCACTTAAGAGTCGAACTTGTGTATTTTTGGGGAATATTCTTAAAGAATATGCATTAGAGTATCATCTCTTGAGTTGTGTTAACCTAGAAATCTAAGGAAAAAAGTTTAATTATGTCGAATTTTTTTTTTTATTTCTATGACTTTGCATGGTGAAATTTCTATGAAATATGAGGTTATCCTTGAATATAATTTTAAAAAATAACAAATAAAACAAGTGAAGAGAAAGAGAGAGAGAGAGAGAGAGAGCACGATCATTTATCCTGGTTCAGACCAATATGTCTTACGTCCAGTCCCCAAGCACAAAGCAAGGGATTTTTATCATAAGGGGTAATTATTATAACATACAAAGCAGCCCAAACATTGACTCTGTTTATCTATGCTACTTTTTCCTGTTGTTTTCTGTAAGCTTCTTAAAGCTAAAAATACAAGGCTGTCTAACATGTCTAGATCCCAAGTTTTACAACTTTTCTCTTCAATATTATGCGATTTAAGCAGAGGAAGAGTATCTCAAATACAAAAGAGAACTCACGCAAAACAATCTACACATCAAAACATAATAGCTTTGAAATATTTAACTTCATTGTTCTGGATATTCATCCCTCAAAAAGTTTTAAAATTGTTGGACAAGACCTTCCTTTGTACGCACCGATTTGTTCAGTGATCAAAGATATTAATCTTCAATGCCCTGTCACAACTCAATCAACCCAATGTGTAAGTTCTAATTCATGAAATTAAGGACCTCATATTTTCTTCCTCGGCAGAATTATTTGATCAATGGCTCCACATGGCCATATCAATACAAAGCCAATAGATAGATAATTTAAAAGGAATATCATTTCGAAACTTATAATGTTATGTTGGAGTTATGTATATATATATCCCCAGTTAGCATGCAACAAAAAATACTTAAAGGGCAATAAGCAGAACATAACCAATTCAATGAAATGCTGGTAGAGAACATTATTGCAAGTACAATATATTTCAAATCATAACATAAATCAGTGCAACAAACCATCATTACTTGGATCATAACTACATCCAATGCCAAACTGTAGGACAAACAGATCCTGTAAAAAACAGAGTAGCATGTCAAGCATTCCCAAGTAATTCGATGGATAAGATTGATTTTTATTGTTTTAGTTTTCCCATATGTTAGTCAAAAACCTGATACTCATACAAAGTCCAAGTTTGATTTTTATTTGAACATCATTACCACGTTAAGATGTTTGTCTATTTTAACATAAACTCTAGTAATTTACCACCACATGGTTATCATAAGTGTTGAATGGGAGGAAGAACAACAAGAGAAAAATATAAATCATTGCCTTTTTGCTAGTCTCTGATGGTAAGGTATTTAACCACATAAACTACAACCATGACATGGACTTTGTCTGTTACTGTGTTCATAAACCTATAATAGACTTGTCTCCAAGTTCGGTTGAAGAGCAACGGTCCTACAATGGCCCAGAATCCAACAACGAATCCCAATCCCATGCTCAAGTAAAATTCTTGAGAGAACAATGAGGCCTCTTCTTCTTCATCATGATTGGCTTCTTGAGGTGGAGGCGTATTATCTTCTAGGCACATCTTGTTGAGTGGTGATCCACAAAGATCAAGGTTTCCTTCGTAAGATGAGGCATTAAAGCTCTGCAATTGTGTTCCTATTGGGATTTTCCCATAGAGATGATTGTTTGACAAATCTAACACACTGAGGCGATCAATATTAGCAAGGCTTGAAGGAATTGGGCCTGATAATTTATTGTTTGACATATCGAGAAATTCTAGTGATTCTAGATTCCCGATATTTATAGGTATCTCTCCACTTAGCTGGTTTCTTGATAGGTTTAGAGAAACCAATCCTAACAAAGACACAAGTTCTCTTGGTATTTCTCCTGATAGAGCATTGCTAGAGAGATCAATGCTTTTAAGAAAGAGTTCTGGCCTCATATACTTGTAATCCTCACCTTTCCACATCAATGTTATATAGAATTCCAAAGCACCAAGGTATTGATAAGGCCCTATTTTATTGGTCGTATAATAATGATAGCTTGTGCTTAAGTTGATGTGCTTTTGTGCCATAACAGCAAAATTTTCAAGGCATGATGGAAGTTCATTGGACAAGTTATTACGAGAGAGATCTAAGAGTCGAATTTGTGTTAAGTGGCAAAGATGTACGGGTAGACTTCCATTTAAATGATTCATCCGTAAACTTAGAATTTGCAATTGTTTAAGGCTTACCCCAATCCATGAAGGTATTCGTCCTGACAACTTATTTTCTGACACATCCAATAATACTAACTTGGAGCAATTGGTTAAAGACAAAGGGAGTTCTCCAGTCAAGCTATTGTTTCTTAAAACCATAGCCTCCATATTCACAAGGCTTCCTACAGAGGATGGGATCTCTCCTGACAAATTATTATTGCTCATGTCAACAAATTTTAACGTGTTTTATTGGCTCCAACACTTAGGTAGATGCCCTGTTAGTTGATTGTTTGAGAGGTCTAAAATGACAATGCCCCCACCTTCAGTTTGGCCACATACAAGTTAAATCAAATTTGAGAATTTATTTTTAGAATGATAAAGTTCTGACGCTTTTGAAAGAAATGATGGAGGTGCACCTTTAAAGTTGTTTGAAGTCAAAATTATTTGTGGGCCTTGATAAAGCTTGAGTGGCAAGTTTGGGATTTCACCAGAAAAGTTGTTGAATGAGATATTCACGTGATCTATATTTTTCAATAGTGGCCAAAACCATTCTGGGATAGATCCTGAAAGCTCGCCATCAGAAATATCCAAAGTGGATAAATGATGTTGATTACAAAGCCAGTTTGGAAAATTAGGACCTATCTTGCAAGAAGCCATCTCCATAAGTAGTAACTGAGAAGGGGGAATCCAACTGGCGCTAATGTTCAAGGTCAATGGATTGCTAGACAATGATAAGCTCAACAAATTAGAAAGATTTTTGAAATGAGATTCAGTGATTACACCTCCCAAATTGTTCCCATCCAAATACAAGCTTACCAATTGAAACATCAATCCAATGCTTTCAGGTATTTTTCCTTCTAATTGGTTATCATAGAGAAACAGATCTTCCAAAAAGGAAAAACCCAAAAGATTTGGTAACATACCCGTCAATCGATTTCCTGCTAAATCCAAACTATGTAATGAATGTCTATTGCACCATGATATATTAGAAATGAATCTCTGGAGGTCCCTACTGAAGTTATTGTGGGAAAGTGTTAAGCTTTTCAATGTGCATATATTTCCTAGTGATGTTGGGATTTCACCTTGGAGATTATTATACCAGAGATCAAGAACTTCAAGAGACTTCATTGTGTTTCCAAAACCATCTGGAATGAAACCACTAAGGGAATTGTCACTGAGTTCCAGTTCATGAAGATTGAAAGTGAAGTTGGAAATCCAATAGAATATGGCTGATGATTTCAAATGATTAAGAGAGAGATCAAGAAGGACAAGAGAAGTAAGGTTAGGATTGAAAGATGTGAAGATAAGATTATTTGATGAAAGGCTACAATTTGCCAAATAAAGCTCTTGAAGATTGGAGCCAAAGTTCAACATCATTAGCGACATCAATTTATTATAAGAGAGATCAAGAACAAGGAGAGAAGGAAAATGAAAATGGGAAGATAAATAATAGAGATTATGAGATGAAAGACTGCAATTTCTTAGATAAAGCTGTTGAAGGCTGGAGCTAAAGTTGAAGGGCCATTGAAATGATGATGAGTTCAAATTATTATCAGAGAGATCAAGGGTGACAAGAGAAGAAGAATAGTTGGAAGGAGAAGCAAACAGAGAAAGGCCATGGGCATAAGAAATGCCACATCCGCTGAGTCTCAATTCTGTTAGTGTTGGCACAAGTTTACCAATCATGTGCAGCCACACCTGAGAATTGCCAACATCACTCACATAGCTCAACTCAAGATTTGTTAATAAAGAGAGCTTTGATATCCACTCTGCCTCATCATTGTTTTTGTCGGCTACTGTGAGGTTAGAACCATAACCACCAAGTCGCAAAGTGTGCAACATGGAGAGATTCCCAAGTTGATAAGGAATCACTCCAACAAGATTATTTTGTCCAAGATGAAGGTACTGCAACTTGGAAAGATTTCCCATTTGCCAAGGGATAGCTCCATCAAAGTAATTGGAACTCATATCAAGGTACTGTAATTTGGAAAGATTTCCCATTTGCCAAGGGATAGCTCCATCAAAGTAATTGAAATTCAGATCAAGGTACTGCAACTTGGAAAGCTTTCCCAATTCATTGGGAATACTCCCAACAAAATTAGAACAAGAGAGGTTGAGATACCTTAAGTTGGTGAATGACTCTATGGACTGAGGGATGTCGCTTGGGTAGAAATAATTGTTACTAAGATCCAAATGCTTCAGTTCATGCAACTCACTCAACAAAGTAATATTAATTGTACCTCTCAAAAGGGGTGAATCGAAACTATGAAGATCAAGAATTTGAACATGACCTGTTTTGCTGCCGCAACGAACTCCTTTCTAGTTGCAACAATCTTCATCATCTCCATCCCTCCATGTGGACAGCATATGAGCATGGTCAGCATACATGCCATGTTTGAACAACAGAAGAGCTTTCCTCTCCTTCTCGATGCACTTCTTCAATACTTCACCATCAGTGGCCAAACTGAGTCTTGTATACAGCAACAATAGCAGTGTCAATAATGCATAAAAAAATTGAACACATAGCCCATCACAGCGACGAAATAGCTTTAATACACGTTCAAAAGTGAAACAACTAAGGAGGATTAAAACACACAGTTCTTGGATAAATGTGGTTTCTCAGCTTGCAAAATGTTATGAGGCGTAAAATGTGGATGGTGCGTAGAATTTTTATAGAGTTCAGTGTGGGGCTGTACTTTGATGATCACTGGTATGCTTTCTGATGAAGAGAAGTCAGAGTAGATGTGGAGAGAACACGTTATTTCAACAACCTCTTTTTTTAAAAAAAATGAAAATTCAAAAATAAATGCACAATGTTTTCGGAGTCCATAATATTGAGCATTTTTGTTGGTGTCGGATAGTGTGCTCTTGTAGGATATTATTTTGCTTGGACAAAAAAATGCTCTCTTTTCTAACAAAACATTCTCACACACAAAACACTCGCAATTGAAAGTCTTCCTCCTTTTGCCCCCACAATTTAGAAATCTCCCTCAAAAAAAAAAAAGGCAAAGTATATTCCGTCACTGATTTTCCAAGAAGCTTCACGGCCATCTTGGATTATATTAGACTAAAATAAGTGATCATGAAGCTGCAATGATCTTACCTTTACGTAGGATATATATATATATATTGAACATTTAAATCTCACTTTAAATAAACTAATTTATGAAAATTATGTTTATCTGTAAATTTGATGTGAAAACAAAAAGACATTAAAATATTGAGAATAAATTAGAATAAAATTTAAACTATTCAACTTTTAAATGAACAATTAAAATATATGCTCTTATATTATATCCAAATTCCCTTGTAACTGGGGATATTGTGAGCTGAACTGCATTCGAAAATAACATAACTAGATATAGGCTTTTGTACAGAGAGAGTTTTGAAAATAACATAGCTAGCTAATAACATGAAGAAAAGTCATCAGAAGATGTTATTTCAACAAAAATAAATGACAATGTTTTCTCGGAGCTCATAATATCAAGAATTTTGCTGGTGTTGCATACTGTGCTCTTGCAAGATGTTGTTATTTTGCTAGGACAAAAATATTACTTTTGATCGTACAAAAGAGATTTTATAATTAAGAACAAAGATAGTATTGTCTTTTGTAACCTAACATTTTATCACACAGACACACACAAACAGATATAATATGAGGATTTTTGTCATTCATGCTTATATTTATTTCCAATTCAAAGTTGGAATTCATCATTTAATTCAGAAGCCCAAAAAATAAAAATTCATCTCTTAATTTATTGGCGGCTTTTCAAAATGGTGAAAATGTGATCTTAAATCTAATTAATTTAAAAGGAGAAATACCATTTTGCCACTTTCATAGTCTACAATATTAGTTTACTTAAATTGGATGCGTTCTTAATATTCTTAGCGAGTGGGATGACTTCATTATTTTTTATTTTTAAACCCTTATTTCATTGTAACCGTGCTTATATGAAGTTAAATCTTTATTTTCAATTGGCAAAAAAATAATTTTTATTTTCAAAATATGTCCTTAGTTTTATTTTAAAAAAAGTATGCGACTATAATTTCAAAATAGGCTGAAAGTACTATTTTACAAATTTAAATTATATTTGGCCAAAATACATTTCTCTATGGATGAGAAGTATTTTCTGCCAATAACAAAAATTAATTATCATTAAAAGACTTCTACAACTTCATATATAATGGTTGAGAATCGAATTCTGAACTGCATACTTAGAGAATAGGCTAATGTATTTTATACAATTTTCTGGGCATTCAAAGGATCAATGGGTCCCAGAGGATCAAATTTTTACATATACCTTAAAAAATTTTTAAAGCAAAACATAAACTTTAAAACCTAATTTTAAAAATTAAAACATCTATCTAATTTTTTATGTTATGTTACTTTAAAAAAAATTTAGCTGCATTTCGCTTCTCCGCTTCAATAAATAATACGAATGCTAGTTCATAAAATCAAACTTTAAGGTTGGATCTTGATTTTCTTAAGAGCATAGTTTTATTTCATGGCCCTTTAATATGTTCTTTCAAGAACTTAATGACCCATGCTATGCACAGAAATTGACACGGAATTATTAAAATATCTTTTCATTATTTTAATGTATTTTTAGGCCATTCTCTTCTCATAGCTTCACGGATTGTGTTGATATAAATGGCTTACATAGATTATAAAAAGAAAAGGATATTTGGAGTATTAATTATGCACCGAACTTCTCGTTTAACTATTGTATCTCAGTTATTTTGAACGAAAAAACATTTTAAATTTTTTTTATTTTCAACTTGTAAATTAAAATTTCATTTTAAATAAATTACACTTATGGATGATGGTTTCTTGTCAATCACACCCGTCCTCTTTGGTAAAAATAAAAATCATAACTGGACTTTCTCAACTATGACTTTCACTTTGTTCAGAAACCTTGTTGCAAGAGATGGCAAAGAAAAGTACAATCTGATCCCTCAAAATGAATGGCCCAAGCTCCACGGTGTTCAATAAAGAACCACTATTTTCATTCTAATTTAATTTCCACACATTAGACAAAAGTATCCATCTCAGGCTTCACAATTAATTATCACCTATGCTATAATTTCAAATTGATGCAATTTTGTGGAAAGCTCCGTTCAATTACTATAAGAAAATATTTATGGAGAATAAAAAATTTTCTATGAGATCTTAATGCAAGGAGCGAAACAAAATGGATTCAAGAAAAAAAAATCATTGGAAAAAAATAGTACTTGTCGTCCAGAAATTAAATACCTTTGTCTAATTATTGGTTTCATAAGGGATCTCCCTTAAAGAGTTTACAGAAAAAAATTCGAGCGAAGAAAAGGTATCACAGAAAAGGATTCATAACGACTCACTAACTATTTCCTAGCAATTTCTTGAGATGTTTAAATTAAACCAACTTATTTTCAAGCATCAAAACCACTCCCATCAATATATATAAATTTTATAACAAGTTTACATTTACAGCATCTTTATGTCTGTCTCACTATGAATTTATTGCATGTGAATGGACCAAAAATATGGATATATGCATATTTCTAGTTGTAACCGACTGTTAACACTCAAGCTTGTTGTTTAATTTACGATGATATATTAAAGTTTTAAATATTTGTCTATAACAGTGAAAATAAATTACTGGGGGGACAAACAGATTGGGTTGGTAGGAAAACAAGGCAGCTGTCATTATTTTAGCAAATTTTCCACGGAAGCTTTGATCCCTTTAGTTTCAGAGGCGAGACTTTGACTTTTGTTGCCAAGGAAAATGAATGGGGAAAATTTATTTGAACATAAGCCTCATAGTTATTATATTATAGAATTACGAGTCAACTATAGTCTTTTTTCTTTTGGTCCCACAATGTCCAGATCTCCTCAATAAGGCAAAATATATTCCCATCCATGGGTCAAACTCCTCATTTAACTATTGTATCTTAGTTATTTTTAAGGAAACAACATTTTAATGTTTTTTTATTTTCAACTTGTAAATTGAAATTTCATTTTAAGTTGATGGTTTCTTGTCAATCACACCCCTCCTCTTTGCCGAAAATAAAAATCATACCTAGACTTTTCTCAACTATGACTTTCACTCTATTCAGAAAACTTGTAGGAAAAAATGGCAAAGAAAAGTATAATCTGATCCCTAAAAAAGAATGGCTGAATCTCCATGGTGAACATTCAATAACGAACCACCATTTTCACAATAATTTAATTTTCACATGTCAAAAAAAAGTATCCGTCCCACGCTTCAAGATTAATCATAATCTATGCTCTAATTTCAAATTGATGCAGTTTCGTCAAGAGCTACACTCAACTACTATAAGAAAATATTTATGGAGAATAAAAAATTTTCTATGAGACCTTGATGCAAGAAACGAAACAAAATGAATTCAAGAAAAATGAAAAAAAATCATTGGAAAAAAATTAGTGCTTGTCAACAAGAAATTAAATACCTTTGTCGGTTTCATAAGGGAGACCTTTAAAGAGTTTACTGAAAAAAATTCGAGCAAAGAAAAGGTATCACAGAAAAGGATTCATAACAACTCACTAACTATTTCCTGGCAATTTCTTGAGATGTTTAAATTAAACCAACTTATTTTCAAGCATCAAAACCACTCCCATCAATATAAAATATAAATTTTATAACAAGTTTACATTTATAGTATCTCTATGTCTCACTATGAATTAATTGCATGTGGATGGACTAGAAATATTAATATATGCATATTTCGAGCTGTAACCTAGTGTTGACGCTCAAGCTTGTTGTTTAATTTACAATGATATATCAAAGTTTTAAATATTTGTCTATAACAATTACTAGGGGTGAAAACGGATTGGGTTGGTGGGGGAAAAACAATGTAGTTGTCATTACTTAACAAATTTTCCACACAATTCAGAGGGGAGACTTTGACTATTGTTGTGAAGAAAAAATGAATGGGAAAATTTATTCGAACATAAGCTTTATGGTTATTACTATGAGTCATGGGTCAACTAGAGTCTTTCTCGCTAAAGTCCCACACTGTCCAAATCTCCCTCAACAAGACAAAATATATTCCCGCCCATGGGTCAAGCTTCACAATTATTAATACATATTTATATTACTTTCAGTCATTAATAAACAGGTATTTTTTTCTAAAATTTTTTTGTTAACCAAATGTATTAGCTAAAACTACTATTATTATAAGGACTACATAAAAAATAAATTATTGGGCAGAAAAACAAATTAGGTTGGTTGGAAAAAACAAGGTAGTTGTCATTATTTAACAAAATTTTCACAGGAGCTTTGATCCTTTTATTTTGAGAGGGGTGACTTTGACTTTTGGTGTCAAGAGAAAATGAATGGGAAAAAATGATTGAGTAAAATACACTGACTTTCCTTATATTTTACTCTAATTA